AAAAAAAAAAAAAAAAAAAAAAAAAAATGGAGATATAAATTTTTTCTAGATAATTTACAACTTTCGTAGCCCCTGCAATTCGATAAAACGGAGATAAGATAAAAACTGGAAGAAAGATAATATAGAAAAAAAAAAAGACGGAAGAAAACGTCAAACGATTCTTTCAATTCTTCTTCAAGATTCGGGAGAACGCGTTCGAAGGAAATGGGGTAAAACACGCCGTATAAAAGACTCGAGAAAAATTATGTAATAACGAGAGCAAACAATAAGATGTCAATATATATATATATATATTTACATGTTGCGTGAGCAAAGATTCACCTCGAGATCCATGGTGGTATGACGCGTGGGCGGCGTACCGTATTGGCCGTGTGGCGGCGGCAGATGATGGGGATGAAGGGGGTGTAGCTGCTGGGCCGCGTTGAACTGCTGATGATGTAGGGACGGTTGGTGATCGCCGCCGAGGGTGTGCCTCCTCGGCTCGTCCCTCGATCGGCCTCCCCCTGATCCGCTTCTGCCCCCCGAGCCGATGCTTCCGCTTCCGCCACCTCCGCCAACCCCCAGCACGCTTCCTCCGCCCCCGCCCCCGCCGACTCCGCTACCCACGCCGCCGCCACTGCCGCCTCTCCTCCCAGTTGGAACCTCGTTCGAGCCTGCCTCACCCTCCCCCCTGCCGGACCCACCTGAAACAAATCGCGAAAATTCTTGTTTAGTTTACGCTTCCTTCTTTCTTCTTTCGTCTTTTCTTTCGAGAAAGGGGGAGAGAATTTGACAGTCGTTTGATTAATCCTTTTGCTCATCATAGAGTTTGGTATGCTGTATATACTTACTTTTTTCGTAAACGGTATTGAATAAAATATTGATGTTACATGCTTAAGCGTTCGTAGTCGCGATTGAATATGGACGAAAGGAGGTAAAGAGGAATGGAGATAAGCGTGACATAGATATCGTGTATTATATATATGATATATATTGAAATAATTAATGATTGATATCGATTTTATTTGGCACACTCCGAGGTTCTATTTCTAATAATAATAATATAATATAAATATAGAAAAAGAAAAAGGATTCAGTAACAAAAATAATACTTTTTGTTTATTCTTGTCAAGAAAATAACTCGAGAATCTTTTAATATTTTTTTTCAATAAATTAGACTTTCCATGAGGATGATCTCATCCCTAAAATAACTATTTTTGTTACATGTCCTTTAAGTGTCAATTAAGGATATCAAGCTGAAGCAAAACTTGACAAGGAATTTTAATGGTAAATTGTTGGATGACTGTATAGTCACCTTTGATATACACTGCACGTCCAACGATGAGCGATTATAGTCACCTATAATAACGATAGGGTTAAAATCGAATTAAGCGCGACGGGGAAGTACTCCCCTTCCCCTTGGCACGACCTATTTGGCAGAAAGTCGTGGATAAACTCGGCCGAGAATAACGTGTTCGCGGAAGTGGGCGGAAATAGTTACGAAAGACACGTGCGGCGATAGGCGCCATGAGGCACGCGCCACTTTATTCGTGTTCGTCGCTCCCTCGAGAAACGAGTATCGAGGGAGAGCCGAAATTCCGAACACGGGTTTAACACGGACCGAATGTATTCGCTATTTACCGAACCATGGTCAACAGATCACATCTATCGCGAGAATAACAATATACATATTCTCCACGGACGAATGTAACGTGTGAATCCCTACCACCTTTTCGCCACGTTCGTTATTGGCTGAACGAAACGAATGCTCTATCTCACTTCCTCTCGTAATATCTCCATTTAAATAAGAAACAAGTTACCTATTTTTATAATAAATATATACTATATTTAACTATAGAACACTAAAAAATTAAAAAAATTATGATATAAAAAATTATAACATAAAATAATAAAATTGCATAAGATAAGTCTACAATCTCTACAATTCGTTACTTGTCAAAGCAACGCGAGCAATCTAGTCTAGTGCTGCCCTCTAACATTTCCTCGCTATCCGTACTAATTTTTGAACATAGGTCTGAATATAATCGCATTTACAACTGACTCACTAGAACTGTTTCTATTCTCTCTCACTTCTTTTCCACTCGTCCAGCCAAATGATGGTCCAATATATTTCTAAAATTATGATCACAAAATTAAATATACTATTTTACGCGAGTGTGTCGTGATAATCCGCGCGGCACGCGGCATCGAAGAGGTAACTGAGCGACGAATCTACGTTTAATCGGGACGACGACAGTGGTAGCTCGCAATGCGAATGTAGGTCGCAAACGGTTGTGTCCATCCGTTCGAGAGGGACGGTCGACGTCCAATTAACAACGAGCTCCGCGAATTCCAGGCAAACGTATCTCCATTGGTATCTCGAGTATTGCTGCCAGACTAATGGATGTCAACGCAGGGACTTTCGTTCGTAAAAATTAATTGGTAAATTTTCAAGATGATTGGCCGCGACTGAAACAGGCGACGAGATAAGAAGCGACGAGTCCTTTCGATGTCTTTCACTCGTCTATCGATTATCTCGTCATCGATCGTTCACCGACGAGCAGAACAACTTCGCGTCGATCGCGAAATTGAAACGTCATTCGTCGATTTATCTTCTACAGGGATAAGTCTACGCGCTGAAATCCATTACCGTGAAGACGGGCAGAATTTTATATAACCGACATCCGTATTGAAATCCGTTAAAAGCACCGAGAGTCTTTCGATGAAGAAAATATGATTCGATCGAAATTAACATTTCGAATATCTGAATTTTTGTTCAGATTAATTTTCTTTTTCTTTCTAACAATACATATTATCACTATTTTATTCAATTATCATTCAACACACTTTTACGATCCTGTACCGATTTCGATACACATGTATAATAACACGATATTATTTAATATTATTATAATTCAAGCGACATGGCAAATTTCGCGAAAGTCTCCTTGCTAAAATTGATTTTTCTAAGTAACCCCTGCCTTTCTCGCCCTCCTTCGAAATCACGAAACGGAAGCGTTGGTCATAAAAAAAAAAAAAAGAGAGAGAGAGAAAAGTATAGTACACGAGTCCAACATGCGACGAGGGAACAACTACGGATGATCTGAGCGATACGCGGGCGATATCCCCGTGCACCGACCGGTTCGATAAAACTCGAAGCTCCGTGCTCGACGATACAACCAGTACTGGCAACCACGACACCGCGAGATTCTCGAACGCGTTTATTTTCAGAATAGCGGTGTGTAGCACACACGCGAGCGAGAGAGACGGAGAACGAGGGAACGAAACCGACGAATCAACGAAAGCTTGTCTTTCTCGTCCGCCTATATTCGCCCGTTAACCGAGAAATCTAATCTAACGTTCGGATATTCGATAATTCGTCATCGTAGATAAGATTCCAAACGGTCGGTCTCTGCAAATATGTACCTGCGTACAAATACAGGCTTGACAATTTCTTGGCAACGAATCGATGCGTTTCTCGTATATCGATGAATATACCTCTTAAATTGTTTTCCAATAATTTTCATTTTTTTAGAAAAATCGCGAAGAGAATATGATAAATAACCTAAAAAAAAATAACTAAAGATATTTATTACTACGTCCCTGAATTTTTTTTTTAAATGATAAATTATAACGCTACAAATTTTTATGAAAAGTTTTAAGATAGAATGATAGCAATATCCTAATTAAAAGTTCAATATCCTCTTTTCGACTAGACGGAGACAACTCCTACGCAAAAAATGATGCACCCTAATTATAGCGGAACTTATAGCAAAGAGACGTCGTATAAGGGAAAGATAATTCTCGAAATATAAGATGATCGATTCGATGTGTAAGGAGTCCATCGACTTTAATCAGTTCCATGGAATACGATCGAATGCACTACACGTAGCCCATGATCCTGCGCGATTAGAATTACATTATACGTGTTGCTTGTTGGCTTCGATCGATTTCGATTGCCATCACGAGACACGTTGTCTGTTACGGGAGTAATTTTGATTTCTTGACCTATCCAGGTATAATTGTTGCATATCTGTGAGAATTTTGGAACGATTAAAGATTCCAATATTTTATGCGATAAAAATATAAGATTTTCAAATCTCTCTATCTATATATACAGATATAAGAATAAATCAATTATATTATTGATTAAAATAATACAAATATAATAATTATATATGAATTATTGTAATTAAAAATGCTACTCTATGCTATTTTATAGAAAAAAAAACTATCCAATCTCCTACAGCGAACGGAATCGTAGCTCTTGTTCAAGGCAGGAAAAGCATCAGGCGAATAGTGACCATACAAGAGCCGCGTATTAATCTGGCCGACGAGAACGATCGGCGTCTATTAGGCGCGGAAAAGTTTTGACTCGGTTTTATACTCTGCAACTGTGCTCGTATATAACCCGCTCGTTCCAACGAAATCCACCACTTTGTCGATACAATCCATCGGCGATTCGATCTTCGTTCAATTTATTTGATCCGTATATATCCACGCGTGCATCGTTTTCGATATTGAATTAGCACTTAACGCATCGGGCAAAATGAAATAGAACGAGTTTGCCTCAAAATTGGCGTGGTTCGATTGAAAAATGAATTTTCAACGAAATAACGTGAAAATTCGTTAAAGCGTAAAATCGTCTTTGACAACGAGAAAGATAAACCGATCGGTTACACGGTTATAACGTGTATTAGATATTCGACCAAATAGACAATAATTTCTCGGCGAACTCCGCAGGCCGTTTATCGATTATCGTCGGCCAAAAATACGCGTTCCAAAGTGCGCTCCTGTGCCTTCTCTTCATCTTCCATGCCCCCCCCCCCCCTCCTTTCTTCCCTGTTTCCCTCGCTATAACGATTCAAATTTCACAGAGCCGAGTCGAGCAGAGAATCGAAAAAAGCTTTCGAAAATTACGCGAAAAAGTATCCGACCAATGGATATCGGATTACGTGGAAACGCAAAGGACTGCCAACCTTGAGGTTTACGATGCGTTCGGACAAAAGGTCAGCGAACGGACGACTCGGCCACAACGCGCGTTAATTAACCGTAATTGTTCGAGGTTATTACGGAGAATGGAACTGTTGGAAAGACGGTTAGGTTTTAAACGAGGCTTTCTCCAACGTTTTTTTTTTTTTTTTTTTTTTTGGCAATTTTTCGATCGAAAACCGTCGCGAGTAATTCGTTGTTTTGTTCGAGATCGGACAATCGCGAAACTATTACTCTTTTCCGCGAACAATGGCCGAGTTTAACGAGAAGCAAAGGAATGGAGAGAAAGAATCGAGTCTGTATTGAAGACAGATGGAGAGCGAAAACGAAAAGAGTATAAGATGGAGGGAGATGGAACTAGGAAGAAGAGAGAAGAGGTGTACGGGAAAAAAGGGGTCTGGGTTATAGGACGGTGCATTCAACGTTCCCTTAATTTCACCCTCTTTCGAGGCGAGTACTAGCTGCAAACGCGAGTAGAAAGCAGCGTGGTGCGCATACGCCTGCCGTGTCGGGACGAGAGCGTGTGTGCGTGGCCGCCTCTGAATCGAGCATGTGCCGAGAGAAAAAAAATCTATATCGCCTTTGAAGCCGAAGAATGCCTTTCGGAGAGAGGAAACATCCGTGGCACGTGCACGTGCGTGCGTGCGTGCGCGATTACGTGCGTGAGGACGTGCTTTTGCGTTATTTAGCGCCGCTCTCCATCGCTCCTATCGTCCACGTGTCGCATGTCCCGTTCTGTGTCGAGTTACGCGAAAATCAGGACCTTCCTTGAAAGAGGCTCGTCTAACCCTTCTATATGTACATTCGAGATCATCGATCGGGCTTGAACGAAGAATTTTCGAAGCGTAGAGGAAGAAGAATATCGAAACGGCCCACTTGCGGATTACTTTTTCTTTTGCACAATTTGTCGTAAAATTAATCGCGAGATGATTTACTTACCACTTGCTATCCCTCTATTTTTTTTTTTTCCTCTCTTGGGACAACTTACGAATCAAACGGACTCCTAACCTTAGCTCGAAACCACGAGCAGCGTCAACGGAATTCCCGCTTACATTTCATCGTAGGTCAAACACCCGCGATAAACGATAATAGTTCGATGACCAGAAGTCAAAACCGAAAAGAAAATAAATTCATGAAACACTTCATGCGATCGTCACACTATCTTAACCGAGACGCGTGCACTACTGCCGGCAGCCGGCTGCCAGAAGGAAAACCAAATCGAAAGGAAGCATCGCTAAAATCCTCGTTGCTGCCGCCACCGCCACCTCCGTCGCCGTTGCTGCCGCCACCGCCGCTTTTATAATCAATATTAGTTGACGGAGGATCCGCCGAGCGTCGCCGTTCGACGCCGCGAGAAAGACAAAGAACCGAACCGGTGATCGTTCATTGAAGCGAGACAGCGCGACATGCACACGTTGCCATACCGAGCAATTAGACAGCGAAGTTCTTTCGATTCTCAGGATTATGATTGCAAGATACAATTCAAAGCGATGCGAGAAAGCGAGCAGCATACGTTTCATCGAGAATCATTATCACTTACTTCTTTAATTAGGAGTTTTCGCTAGGGGGATTAGACGGGAACGCACCTCCAGAATGATCTCCTTCGATCTGCATCCCAAAAACGTCCCTCCTTCGTATCGAGAACACTACAAAGCGTCCTTCGAAATCGCGTCATTGTTTCGCGCGAGAATAATATTCGACGTCCAGATGCATGGTAGCGCGAGGAAAGGAACCGCGGGACTAACTCTGGCGTCCTCGATCGAATGGAAGGACGATGACCGGCGACACGCGATTCAAAAAATCTAAGAAAATTGAAAAAATTGGAGAAACGAAAGGGAACTCGAAATAATACCACGAAACGCGTTTTTCACAGAGAAACTGGCAACAGGGTGTGGCGAGAAAACGTTTTAAAAGATTGGCACGCGATTCGCTTCGACCGGCGTCCACCGGCGGCGAGGGCGCCCACGACGCGACCACCGCGACGCCGTTGACGTTTCGCGACTAGATGCGACGCGAGCGACGTATCGCGCCATCTCGTCGACGGCGACTGGCGCGCCTCTAGTATGCACTTGTATCGTTGAGACACCGACTGAGAAACACCCAATGTTATCAATCGAGACCGCGAACTTTTTCTTCGCGTTTTCAATCTATTTATTTATTAATATTACGTATCGATTATGTATTTATAGGATATACTCTTTTTATATAATGCGAACTTTGCAAATATTATGTATATGCATGAGGATATTTAACAATTTCTATCACGGGTCGGTAAGTATATGCAAGCATGAGGTAAATGAGTAAAAAGAGATCCGGGAAGTTGTATTATTTGTTCATTCTACTAAAGAGAAAGGAAATTCGAATCGAATAGTTTGTAGAAACTTTCGTCGAAGTTTCAAGTTTTCGAAAGGAAATGTGGGAAGACAGTAAACGAGTTTGCCGACGTGAACGGAAATGCCGTTTTAATTCGTTTCCTCGGAACCAGCATTTTTCGTATCACACGCAATATTCTTCTCCATGAACATTGAATAATAGAATGAAATATATATGACGAATAGCATGAGTGAATATTTACAGGAAATAAAATGAAAAATGAGGCTAACTTTACGACAAATGCGATCGTATCTCGTGCATATCGAAATCCTCTTTTCAGAATTAAGGGCGTTCGATTCGATTAGTCATTGTTCGAATCACGCATCTAATGTATCGCGAGCCTGATACGTGACATCGAAAATCATTCGTTAGAAATTACTAAAATCTGAATTACGATTTATAAGTTTTATAAAAGAAATTATAACAAAGAAATTATAAAAAATTATAAAAAAAAATTATAAAAAAAAAATAACAAGAATATAAAAAATATAACAATGCTTGCTCGAACATCAAATTATATCGTTCAAATTATATGTATACAATAATATCCATTCCCCCTACTTATTGTCACGAATTAATATAATAATAAGAGTAAGAGTCTTTTTTTAGACAATATGGGTTAAGTATGCAGTTATACTATTAAAAAAAATAATAACAAAAAATATAGAAAAAAATTAAAAAGATTAAAACCCGAAATTTAAGAAGATTAAAAAACAAATCTTGATCAATGACAAAAAATTCCAAACTCCAGGTAAATTCGTCTTAATTTCTAAGTCATACGAAAATTCGTTTAAAATCACGTTTACGGTAAATACAGGATTTGAGTGGCGCGTAAGAGCACGCTCCTTCGTTGGAACGTCATCGTTCCAGCCACGAAAAACGTTGGAGGAGAGGCAGCAGGCAGCGATGTACGAGCAACGGTGATGAAAAAGGAGAAAAAGAGAGGCATAGCCTGAGGCAAAATTAACGAGAAGGGAGGAAGGGCGGTCGACGTATCGCTTTCACGCGTCACGAGAAGCAGCCGGAAGGGAGACGAAGGTGGCCGGTACTGAAACTCGAACCGAGGAAACCCGACAGACGCTTCGCCGATTCCAGGGGTTAAGTTAAGCTTGTAACGCGTGCCTACTTAAACACCAACCCGGCAAAACTATACGCAGAAACAGATTTAAGCATTCATCGCCAAAAATCTATATTTCATTAGTATTTATCCGCTATACTTTTCAGATCTATATCTGAGAATCATCCTCAGAATCATTGGAATTAAGATATTTTCTACTTAAACACCAACAAACATCAAAACTATACGCAGAAGCAGATTTAAGCACTCATCGCCAAAAATCTATATCTTATTAATATTTATTCGCTATACGTTCTTTTCAGATCTATATCTGAGAATCATCCTCAGAATCATTGTAATTAAGATATTTTTTTTCTCGTCTTTCACTTCGTTCGTTTCTCTATGATTCTTTACGGTTATCTTTGTCGATAAAAATAAAATAAGGACAACATTTTTTCGCTCCTGTGCAATTATATTCCAAGTTGAGCAAATTTATAACGAATAAATACCGAAAGGATCGAAGTACGAAAGTACAAGAAGAATCCTCGACCGAGTTCTCTCTGAACGAAAGTTTTCTTGTTGTCTTGTTCGAAAGGGGGAGGGGGGGGGGAGGGAAAGAGAGAGAACTGACTCACCGATGTCGTTGGACTGTCGACCCTTGCCATCCGAATTCCACTCTTCCTCTGCAACAAGAAAAGAGAGATACGGGTCCATTAGCATCGAGGCTACGCAACGAGGCAAGAGAATTTGGTCGACGATTACCGTTACGAAACGAGGGGACCAGAAGCATCCGGAAAGTTTGCCGCGTATTCCCCCCCTCGCGGGTTACGCGATGCAAATTGAATACGAAATTAATTGGCGCGATAAACTTCCCCCCCTAACCATACTTCGGAAATACCTTCTCACTAGAGAAGATTTGGAAACTTGGGAAAAACAGCGCCAGTTTCGAGCACCGAAAGGAGCTTAGAATGTTGACGAGCTAGCGATATCCGGTAGCCAAAGAGATCTCGACTTCTTCCTTAATCCCATCTTCGGATAAAACGATTATCTCCTCCCCACTCTTCGATCGCTAGCGCGCGACTCGCTCGAGGATAATTGCGAGGCGAGTTATTTCCTCGAAAATTATTCGGTGCTCGACGATGGCTGCCTAGCTAAAACCTCGAAACTCAAGAGCAAGAGAGAGAGAGAGAGAGAGAGAGAGAGAGAGAGAGAGAGAGCGATTCTGGTTAGGTTAGGTTGCGCCGGTGAACGTATGTGTGTTGGTCGCACGACCTAGGTATATGCATCCTGCATATTTCAGGAATATACATGTCGTTTCTGCAGAGTCGACGGTCTGTTCGTCGCGTAAATTTATAAGGATCCCGCTACTTTCACATTCTTAGCCACGCGGGAGGTATGAATTTAAATTTACACCCTGTTCGACCCCATTTTCACGGAGGTTCGGGCGTTAATCCGCGAAACGAATACTCTATGCTCGTGTCCATAGCGCGAGGGAACGTAGAAGGTGATAGCGAGTCGGGTGGAGATAACGATTTAATAAAATCGAGTCTGGGCAGCCAACGGTATAGAAATGTCGGTATAGAAACGTGGATGCATTTCCATGACAAACATTTCGCGCGAAAACGCTCTCCGATAAACTCTCGCTCCCTCTCAAAGTCCTGGGAAAATCTAAAAGTCAAAAGGTCCGTGTATATTTACAAAATGAAAGAGCAAAAGGGTGGAAAAAAGGGGATTGGAGAAGGATGGCTCGAGGCTGTGCCAAGCGCGCTAGCTTTTTCCCTGTTCTTCCTCTTCCCCCTCCTTTCAACCCTTGCCCTACAACATTACGCTTCTCGTAACCTCGTTTACTATACGGACACGTCGTGTCGCGTAAACGATCCTCTTTCGTGCCACGACGTATGGTACACGAACGATAGAAAAAAGTCTCGTTATCAACGGAATCGTAGCCTGTAGAAATAGATATATATATATATATATGCGCGTATACACGACTCTTCTTTCCGACCGTTCTTTCGAAAGAACGGCGAGTTGGTAGTCTCGAAGAGCGAGAGATTAAAAGTTCGTCCCGGGACGGGTGAAAAGCGAGAGAAAGTTCTCTGGATAAACGCACGTTTTTCTTTCCGGGAAATATCCGAGTTACTACAGAGGAAAGAAGAACGAGAAGAGTCGGAGATTAAGCGGTCGCGAGAAAAACGCGAGAAGATTCCGCGAATCGTTTTTTTTTTTTCCATCAACGAAAAAACTAAAAACTCGTCTTATAAAAGATAAAGATTCCTAATAAAAATAAATAAATAAGCCTTTTGTTTTATGTCGACCATATAATCCCGTAATACGCGTGAAAATCGAGTAAAGTCTGATAACGTTGTTTCTTGATTTCCGTCATATGAAAGATAAAACCTCTAACAAGTAGAAAAAGGATAAACGAGTCTTTTGTTTTGTGTTAACTGATGACGTAATCTTATAACGCGTGCGAATTCCGTGTACGGTCGATAATGTTGTTTCCTAATTTTTTCTCTTTTCTCGATATGTCTCTTATGAAATTAGATTATGAATATTATGCGCTCACCAATGAAAAAAGCGCGAAAAAAAGAGAGATGGATAAAGTTAAAAGTAAAAGAAAAAGAAATATAGTTAAAAGTGTAGCGGTAAACCACAAGATCCTTAGGAAGCCGATAAGGTTACCTGAAGTTTCAGAATCTGATCCTGGCGTGGGGCTAGCGTCCACACTATGCCTAGATCCCTGGCAACACTCACTGCACTTGCTGCACATTTTGTTCTCGTTTTGTGCTCGACACCTGACAAGTCGATCTTGATCACTTTTTCTCACTATCGACGACTTGTCACCATACACTAGGCCGCTCTGCCACGCAGTTCAAAACGATCGGTTATCGACGCACGCGTCTCATTGTTCAATGAACAACAACCTGTCCGAGCAGCGGCCGGGAACTTCGACGATCGATCGACACCATCGTAACCACTCGATTTCCTCAACCACCATCATCACCACCACAAACATGAACGCAACCCTTAAAACTCGGTCAAGCTGATGGAAAACGATTTTTATTTCATTCTGCGGATTCGGCCACTTTGGCTCATCTCTGCCCTCTGCCGGTCATTCAACCAACTAAAATCGACTATCGACTATCGCGCGCGATTTCAAAGTGGAAATTTTTACATCTTTTATTTCTTTAGAAAATGAAGTTGAATAATTCATATAAAATTCATATCCTTTTTTTCGAATTTCAACGTGAAGAAAATTATGATACCATACTTCGTATGATACAATTTTGAAATTCGGAACTCGGATAATTTCAAAAGGAGAAAAGTTTTAACATTTTAAACGGAGAAGCAGCGTTCTCGAAAGAAATTGATCGAACATAGTCACACGTCACTCTTAATTATCATTCGAGAAGAGACCTTAAAACCCATCGATGCGTAAAATTAATTGTCTCTATACGGAATCGATGTACACTCAAGAAACAACTTAGGAAAGCAAAAAAGTACAAACGAATCTATCTTCAATCTATTGTCTCGCGTGTCAGGGACGAGGAAAAGGCTAAAAGCCCGAGAGATTCGTTTTGATATCGAGAAACGAATTTTCCAGACGATCACAAACGTTAAAACTCTTAAAGAGTCGTAATCGGGTCGAGGCTGTCGCTTCGCTAAGAAAACACGACAATTAAATCGAAATAGAAATGGCAAGTGGGGGGGGAACATTGTGGCAGGTCGGGAAGTAAGGAAGGTGGGTGACAGGAGATGAAAGTAATAAAGCGATCCGCGCAGGAAAGGAGAATGGCAGTTAATCGCAGCAGGGAGGGGGGGAGGGGAAGAGGGAAGGGGAGAGGGGAATAAACGAAATTCAGATATATCGGGGTCGAGCCCGAATCGAGGATGAAACGTTGTTACAGGCGGTAATACGATCCCGCGTTGCGAACGACGTGAAATTAACTGGTAACCCGATTCGGTGGAGGAACAACGACGAATCATCTCGTCGCGCTCTCATGGAAATCGATCGTCGAACGCGCAACGATGGCAATTCGCAATTACGCGAGAGGCATTTTGCGGGGGCAGCCCGTACCCACCGAGAAACTAATGGGGTTGGGCGGCCATGGGTGAGGTGGGGGGGGGAGGGGCGATGACGCGCGCGTTTCCGCCACCTCAAATTCGATGTAATTCGGTTCCTGGAATTCGTGCAACTACGCTGGATTTCCATAAACGAGCCGACCGAAATTCGTCTTGGAACTGGGTTAAGCGCGTGTCCATTGTAACCGTTCAATCGAACCCCGTTCGTTGCCCTTTAATCACGTCAAGCTGTACGATTTCGTTAATTGATCGATCCGAGATTCGCGGTTGTTATAATAAACGTTGAATCGGCAAATTCTAGACTAAGAAAATATTATTTAAGATATCGATTTTTAATGACTCGATGTATCGTGTCTTTCTCAAAAGTAAAATATAACGGATATATATATATATATATATATATGTATGTATATGTGAAGATGGTATGAAGAAAACGAGAGAAAAATTTTCTCATGATAATTTAAATGAAATCGTACAATGAAGCGCGATCACGTGATTCTTAAGTGGCGATTAAGCTCGAGTTTGCAACAGAGGGGAAAGAACCAGCGAGGAATCTACTCGAGTCAGCGACTTTCTTTCCGCGTTCGACTCGGTTAAGAGGTTTTTTTACCAGACTGGAGGGGGTAAAGGAAAAACTAGCCGAATTCCTCGACGATTCGTAATACGCGCGGCGCTCGATCGACTATTTTCGAGGGCGCAACGTATACGTATATACGATTTCATGAGTTGGGCGATTACCATAAACGCGCGTTTGCCCGTAATAACGTTAATTACGAAGTAATAACGGGATTGTTGAAAACGTTTGAACGAAAGGGAATAATCGATCGACCTTCCATAATCTTGTTCAAGCGTATTTAACTAAAAGGATAATACTATAAAGGCAAACTAACTCGATTCTCTATTGTTTGGAAATTTTGTTATCCATTTTTCGCTTTATCGAAATAACTGAAGATGATCGTTTCAATTATTTTTACTTACGAATTTGAACGAAAAAAAAAAAAAAAAAAATTGAGATTTATTCTCTCTAAATATATATAAAGTATAAAGTAACTAACCAACTGAATTATTCAATATATTATTCGGTGATTGCGTTACAACGTTAGATTTCGAAAGGAGAGGCATAATATCCGATTACTTGTTCGGTAAAGGCGAGAAATCAACCAATCGAAAGCAGGATGTTATCAATCCGTGGTGTTCTTACACCTTGCGGCTTGAGTGCGGCCATGCGGCGTGCGTATGTTTGTGCCTTGTGTGCCTTGTGTGCGAACGTACATGCGTGCATGCTAGCCTTAAAATACGATCGATGACGTGACGCAACGTGTAAATCTAGAAACACGACTTTCGTAAAGATTCGTTGGAGCGCAAGTGAGCGAGATGATGCGAGGACGCGAGACTTCCTTCCCCTCTTCCTTCCGATCTTCTATTGAACATCGGTCGTTGTGCACTTGTACATCACTGATGACGTGCAAAATTGCAAATATTCAGTTGAATGCATATCAATTGTCTCAGAAATAATTGAATCAACTGATATGTATAATAATTTGCTTTTTGTAAAATCTTATCTTTTTTTTTTTTATTTGGATCCAATATTGATCTATAT